ACTTGTCGAACTCGTGGCCCCAATTTTGCACCACATTCAACGGGACGATTATGAGCACCCGGCGGAGGAGGTGGCCGATGTGGGCGTTGGTCATGACGGTGTGGAGGAAGGCGATCACCTGGAAGGTCTTCCCTAGGCCCATGGTGTGGGCGAGGATGCCGCCGGCGGCGTGCTGGCACCGCGTCAGCCGCTCCACCGACTCGATGGTGCAGTTGAAGAGGAACTGAATGCCCTCCGCCTGGTGCGGCTTCAGGTGGCGGGCGAAGGCGGGGTTCACCTCCACCAGGACCTCCTGCGTGGTCGGGTCGATGTCCAGCACCAGCTGCTTCACCTGCTGAACGCCGTCGTCCACTTCCGCTTTTTCATCCACTTCCTCTTTCTTTTCTTCTTTCTCCTTTATTGATTTGTTCGCTAGCCGATTGTACAACTTCTGCTTTTCCTCGATTCGCCGCCGCCGCTCCCGTTCACTGCGACCGGCGTCTCGGGTCTCCTTCAGCAGGCGACCGGGGCTGATGATGCGCTTCAGTCGCTTGCGCGAGGCAAAGCTACTCCCGCGGGCGTCGTAATCTTCGTCGTCGTCGTCGTCGTCCTCGTCGTTTTCGTTGTTCAGCATGGCGTTCTTTGAACTGGTCTCATCATCCTCGTTCTCATCATCGTCAGTAGAGTTGTTCACCTTGAGAACCTTTTTAATGCAGTTTGATAATAAAGTGTTATTAATTAGAAGTAGTAAAATGGTGAAAAAGTATAATCACTTACAATGCGTTTCCGCTTTCGCCGTTTCACCCTTGCCACCAGCAGCTCCGTTTCCTCGCTGGAATCGGTGCTGCTGCTGCTTTTGCTGGCCCTTCTCCTTTTAACTTTTTTTTCTTCTTCTTCATCATTTTTTTCCTTCTCTTCTTCTTTTTCTTCTTTGTTCTCTTCTTCTCTTTCTTCTTCTTCTTCTTCACCTTCTCCTTCTTCTTCTTCTTCTTCTTTTTCTTCACTGTCAGTAAATGTCATGGTGTTTTTTTTGCGTCGTTTAAAAGGAATGTCATCCTGTTCCTCCTCCTCGTCACTGCCGTCGCCAGTTTCATTTTCCGCATAAACCTCTTCTGTTCCAACGTTGTTTGCCTCTGTTTGAGCTGTTGTAGGCTTTTTCTCGGTGGTCTTATTGGTGCCAACAGCAGCAGTTTTTGGTGAGCCATTCAGGAGCCGGTTAGCGCTCTGAATGATGGAGCGAATTTGTGTGTACATGCTGTTTGGCGCCTCGTTGTCTGAGTTGGAGTCCAGTACAAGGGCGTTTTCGCTTTCGGCATCGCTGACATTGGCCTCGTTGTCGCTTTGTTCAGCTGCTGTTGCTGCTGCTGCTTCTTCCTCATCGTCGTCGTGTTCATGATGGTCACTGTCATCAGCTAAAGAGGCATCGTTTTCAGCGTCTCCCTCGTCGCCAGCAGTGTTTTCCATTTCCTCATCAGCATTATCATCATCAGCACCTTCATCATCATCATCATCATCATCATCATCATCAGCACCTTCATCATCATTGGCTTCTCTGAAAAGGTCAGGCAGATTTTCGTTCACCCAAGGCTCGAACAAATCTTCAATATTTTCGTTATCTGAATGCATGCTCTCAAAACCGAATTGTGCAATATTTTCTACTATCTGCCTGTCTTCATCTGCTTCTCCGAAAATGTCAGGCTGATTTTCGTTTACATAGGGTTCAAGCAAGTCCTCCTCCTCTTCTTCATTATCATCATTGTTATTTAAAGGGTCAGAATCTTTAGATAGAGACTGCTCACTCTGGTCCTCTTGTGCTGCCTCAATAATATGTTCGTTTGGGTGATCAGTCTCAGCAGTAGTGTTGCTGTTGCTGACAAGTTCATCAGTTTCCTTGCTGACGTTGTCGTTTGGGCTGTTCTCATTTTCACTACGTTGGCTTGTGCTGGGGGATGTTTCAAAAACCAGATCCAGTTTGCTGTCATCAGAACTTATATCTTCAAAATTGGACTGTTCTCTTAAATTGCTTTGCAAGCGCAGCTCTTTTTCAATATCTGGGATGGAAATGCGCCCGTCATTTAAAGGCTTTGGCCTCTTATTGAGATCGCCATCTTTCCTCTGATTGCTCCGCTGATCAGTGTTCAGCTTTTTACATCGGCGTTCAGGCTCCTCATCATCGTCGTCATTTGCTGAAATGTTAACATTTTCATCATGGCCATCCTCCCCTTGAAGTTGACTGTCCACTTGAGCAGTGTCGGACGGCTTATCACCGCATTGCTCATCAACTGAAAGACCGCTTAGACTTGAAACGGCATCATGAAAATCACTTTCATCATCGTCACCAAAGAGAATTTGGGCCAGGTCAATGGCTTCATCTTTTACTTGATCGTTTGGTTCTAAGCCGATCGATGGCTGGCCACCTTCAGGTAGTGGCTCCGCCGTTTCAGTGGTTGGCGTCTCACTAGACTCAGTAGCAGCAACTTCAGGTATTGAGGTAGATGAAGGCAAGTGAATGATCACAGTCGTTTGATCGCCAGAAGACGATGTTTGAAGCTCAGTGGGATGTGAGGAGGTAGAAGAGGCGTGTAAGTTATCGGCAGCAGCTGGTTGATCATCCTGATCAGATGAGGGGGAGTGAACGCCCGAGGAACTAGAGGACAGCTGTTCGTCAGATAAGAGATTTGATTCCAACTGATGATCATCATCATCATCATCATTATTATCATATGCGTCTAACTCATCTGAGTGGACGTGTGTTTTTGAATTATTTGAGGTAGTTTGAGTTTCAGGCGGTGTTGTCTCTGGTTGAGTAAGTTGCGAGGAATTTAGAAAAAGCAGTTGAGGGGCGTCAGTTGAGTGCGAAGCAGTTTGATTGCTCGTTAGAAATTCATTGTTTAGAAACTTTGAACATTCAGCTTCTAAAACTAAAATCAGAGTTCCGAACATGTGTTCGAGATCAACGCCAGTGTAGGTTCTGTTCTTATCAAATCCGGTTATGTTTTTCATGATGTTTATGGCACTTGTAGAGACTTTTTTGACAAAATTGTCTTTTATGAATTTCATTATTTTACTTTGAAGCAATGTTTCGTCTTCATTGTGCAAACAACTAAAAAATAAAAAAACAAAAAGGTTATTTTTACTTTACTGCCAAAGTAAACAAATTGTAAATGCAACTAAACTATTTCTAATTGATAAAAATATGTGATTTTCATCTTGTTAGCAGAAATATCAAGTACCCTGTTTTTTAAAGCGCAAAACTGTTGACCCTTATTACTCCGTCTCTATGGCAATGGTTTCCAAGGAAACAAGCTCAGACAAACATTTAAATATTTCGGTCAATTTGATGAACTAAAAGTCAAACTAAAGTATGGTCTGGCATATTTATCAAATGGTCACTGAGAAGGTGTTTTGTTCCCAGCAAAACTTTGTTTACTTACCATAGTTTTGATGACGTGGACGGCTGTGAACTAGATGTTTCCTGGGACGGCATTGTAAGCCGTTCCTCGGTTCCATCGTCAGCAGTGTGACCTGAACCCTCATTCACATCCATTCTTAACTGTTCAAATCCTGCCTCCTCATTAAAAACAGCCTAATTGAGGCATAAAAATAACAACAACAAAAGTGGCGACAAAATCGCCTCAGATAGATTAATCCAACCGTCACATTTTTGCCCAAATCCCTTTGAGTAGATTTAGCCGCTAGCTATATTTTTGTTGTTTTAAAACTTTTAGTCCTGCCATATTTTCTAAAATATCTTTTAGTTTAATTAAAAAAACTTAAACTTTGTAACCCTTTAAAGAATGTTACATTTAAATTTAACCAGTTTTTTAGCTGCCTATATACCCAATAGACAAAGTGAAAGCCCAAAGCACTGACAGTAGTCTACGTCGCATCGAAATAGCCGCCTCAAACGAATCTCTTTGCCTTGAGTGAGGAGCACTGTNTCTTTTAGTTTAATTAAAAAAACTTAAACTTTGTAACCCTTTAAAGAATGTTACATTTAAATTTAACCAGTTTTTTAGCTGCCTATATACCCAATAGACAAAGTGAAAGCCCAAAGCACTGACAGTAGTCTACGTCGCATCGAAATAGCCGCCTCAAACGAATCTCTTTGCCTTGAGTGAGGAGCACTGTGCGCTTGTGAGCTGTCCAGTGCAGTGGACAGTGTTTCTCGTTAGTTTCTACTAGCGTTTTCCCTCACTCGATGTCGCCAGCAGAGCAGCGAAAACGGCACAAAAATACTCAAGAATAATGGTACCGCGCCAGCAGCAGAATACACAGCCGTGAACAGAATGAGCGAGGCAAATTCTATTGGGACATTTCCAGCCTGTGCCGCAGCAACCGCCGCCGCCGCTCACTGGCTCACCCGTTCTCACACACATTCACACACACACAAACACACTAGCGCATCACAACAAGAACACCACCAAGAATTCACCGAGTTTACCGAGTTTACTGAATCACTAACAAACAAAACTAATAAACACTCATCATAAACAGCAAAGCTACCTTTTCCGTATGCAAATTCCTTCCTCTTAACAACTCTGCAGCCTTTTCGCCTGTTGTTTAGATTGCGAATAATAACTAAACGATCCAATCGTGTTTCTTCCAAAACAGTGCTAAACCAAGAGTGAAGAAGAAGAAAGGATGCCTCACTGGTCGGACTACTCACTGCGAGGATGGCTCAGCTTTCTCGCCTTCATGCACATTGGCATGGCAATGAGGTCCTTCTTTGACAGCACCTTCATCTACCAACGAGTGTTTTCGATCAACTCAACGGCCATTCAAGGTATGTTTACCTGTGTACACTTTTTGTACATTTCAGTACTTTGGAATATCATTCGGTTTAAAACACACTCACACTTACCTTTTAATTTGTTTTCCGTGCAGAGCCCATTTTGATTCGTCTCTTTGGCATCTTCTCCCTCACCCAGGCGTTCATCCTCATTCACTCTGCCGTCCATCTGTACGTTTTGCCGTAAGTGTTCTTCTGTTTTTGATTTTGTTCAGTGTGTAAAATCAGGTGAACTTTTTCTAAAAATTAACTACCTTTTTTTCACCCTCCCAAACAGCATTCAAATAACCGCCATGTTCATGATGATCGTCTTTGTGGTGACCACCTCGACGGAGGCGTTCGTCTTTCAGACGCTGGACTTTCAGGGCGGCACCTTTCTGCCCTTCGTCATGAGCAGTTGAGTGTGCAGTGTGTTAACCCTAACACACAACAACAACAACAACCTTTTTCTTTAACTTGACTTAATTCTCTTATCAACCACCTTTTTTTCGTTGTTGCAGTCATCTCCTTCGTCTGGCTGGTGATGTTCCACTTTGTGTGGAAGCCCTGGCTCGGTCATGCAGTCGACGAGGACACCTCCTTCAAGACGATCCTCTCCGAGGGAAAGAAGTTCAGAGCTGGCTATCGAGCCGGTGGTGGCGGCGGCCTCAGTGGCGGCGACTTCAGGAGCAGCGCCGGAAATACTGAACAGTACTACCGAATGCAAAGTGAATTTCTCCGACGCAACCTCAAGTCTCATGTTGAGTGATGGGAAAAAAACAAATAGTAGTAGTAGCTTTTTATATGCACGCAACTAGACTTTTTGATTGCTGGCGTGAAATTTTTGCCAAAAAAGAGCTGCTGGTTTAGCTAATTTTTGCAGTTACCACTTTTTACCTCTTCAAAACTCAAACTATCTTCTAATTGTCAACATCATTAATTTGGACCAGTTCTACTTAATCGTATCTTAATAATGATAATATTCTAACTTCAAAGTTTAAAACACTAGATTTTGAAAATATTTGATATATTTTTTATAAGCATTTGTAACCAATGATCTCTTTTTCATTTTCAACTTCACAAAAAAATAATTACATTACAGCATTTCATTTGGAAGAGCACACAACTACACACACACTGCTTTGTCACAATTTATTGATTTTTTAAAAAGAACATTCTTTTTGCTAGAATTCAATTTTGGCGATCTTGCTCTTTGTTTTGTCACAAGATCATTTTCACTTAACTTCATG